GTAGAGAGTTCGAAATCTTTTTCGAAGTCTGAGTAAGCTAATACAGGTTCTGAAATTACATGTTACAAAACATTCTTTGAATTCCTTGGTATATTAGACTTTATTGCCCTTTTTTAGGCAAGAAGTCATAGGTTTGGCAATTTTAGCGAAATCTTTTTTGAATTTCCGATAGTATCCAAGAAAAGATTTGATTTCTTTCTGAGTTCGAGGTATGGGAAATTTTTTTATCTTTTCAATTTTGATAGGATTCGGTTTTATCTCATCTTTTGTGACTATATGGCCCAGAAATTCTACTTCTTTGCGTAGAAATTTGCATTTATCTTCCTTTAGTTTTGTGAGAACCAATTTTGAATTTTGAATATGTTCTTAAAGGCCGGTACTGAAAATTATGATACCGTCCATATAGACCATGCAGATTTTATGTTGTAAGTCTTTCAGGACTTCATCCTTTGAAAGGTAGAGAAGACATTTTCTAACCCAAAGCACAACCTCAAGTACTCGAAGTGCCAGTTATATACGGTGAAAGTTGTCTTTTCGATAGAGTATTTACACATTAGAATTTGGTGGAAACCGCTAGCAAGGTCTAGCTTGGTAAAATATTGAGCTCTACCACGTTTGTCTAGTATATCCGCGATATTCGGGATCGGATATCGGTCGCCAATATTTTTTCGTTAACCTCTTGGTAGTCGACAACTAAACGCCATTTTTGTTTACCTTATGCGTCTAACTTTTTTGGTACTATCCAAATTGGTGATGACCACGGGCTACAGGATGGTCTTATGGTGTTTTTGTCAAGTATATCTTTTATCTGTTATTGTACCGCATTTCTGTTAACATACGGATATCTATAAAACTTTGTATGTACGAAAATTTCGTCGTTTGTTCTAATTATGTGTTTGACTTTCGAGGTAAATGTCAGTTTGCTACCCGGTTTGAAAAATATGTCAGCATATTCTCTGCAGAGCTTTATGATATCGGATTTTTCTTCTGAGTTCATGTGATCAGTGCGAATGAAATCCAGTATTTCATCCTTTTGTATGTGTGTGTCTAACTATTGTGGTGGGCAGAGAAACCTTCGAATTTATATGTTTCGAATTTTTGGGATTCGAAAGGGATTGCCTTAATATTGTTGTTTAATGTCATCGTAATGAATTGATCTGTAAGGGTTTGAATTTCAATAGGTGCTTGTCCATTTTTTGCTGAAGTTTAAGTTCGTGGTATAACAAGTTTTCTCAAATAACTTCTTTCGTTCAAAATATTCCTTTTTGAAATATTAACCAGTAAATTTTTCATAATTTTTTCTTCAGGACCTACTGAGAAACTATTATTAAGATTCAATATTACTGGAGTTTTTTTTCCAACACCAAATCGTTATTTTTAACATCTCGACACGTGTTTCGATCACCAAGTGATCATCTTCAAAGAGATCATCTCTTTGTTCTTGGTCATTATCAAGTGCTGTATTTTCATTACGTTTTGGGTATTTCGATATTGAAATCGTAGAAATTTTGATATTAATTGTGTTGGTACTCAGATGGGAAATATAAATTTTCATTAGGATAGAAGGGGTCTGACATAAATTGATTTTCATATTCGTCATATTCATCGAAACAAATCCATTCATGCCAAAATTATCGAAATCGGACGACCGTCCGAAGTCTCAATATGGGCAATTCGAATTCATCATTAGTTTTTTTCTATCTCAATGTTCATGAACCGAAAGTGTTTATTTTTTGATGCATCGTTAAGATCCGAAACTTGATCATTCATATATCTGTCACAATCATCGGCGATAAATGGTGCTGATTTATCCCCTCGTCGATAATTGTGACACAATTCACTAAATGACAACTGAAAAGAATCATACTTTTTCTTATAACAACGACATAACAGACGCGCGATCATGTTTTTTCTTAAATGATGTATTTTGAGACACCTTGTACACATTGAAGGATCGCATGTTAAGACATTAGGGTCGCGTTAAACTGTCATGTTCTTTCATAAATAATGTATTTTTGTCACACGTTGTACACATTGACGTTATGTTTTTGTCTTAAATGATGTATTTTGATACATCCTGCACGCATTGAGGGGTCGCAGTTGAAACGTTAGGGTCGGGTTAAATGTATTTTTGCCACACCTTGTACACATTGACGTTATGTTTTTCCTCAAATGATGTATTTTGTCACACCATGTACATATTGACTTTATGTTTATTCTTTTACGTTAGCAGCCATGTTTTTTCTTCAACGCTGCACACATCTATGTTTTTTCTTTTACGTTGGCAGCCATGTTTTTTTCTTTAACGCTGCACACAACCTGTATATTCTACTCAATTTCTACTACTTCATCATTATTAGTATATCCTTATTTTTATAATTCAACCACGCTGTTACCTTTCAACTGAATCTCTCCGATACTCATTCTATCCTGTTATGCATCGATTAAGTCACACATGTCTGTTTCCACTCACTAACATCTCTCTGAAATACTTATTTCTAATACAGATAACTACAGGAAATATGTTTTATTATTCATATACATATTTGAACACCGTTTATTACGATTCCTTTTTTTTTGTTTAATCATAATTGCAGTTCTTTCAAACGTACTATGTACCTTCGACTCGGGATGAGAACCAATTCGAAGAGCGATTCAATGACCAAATCGAGGCCGATTCTATCTCTATCAACAGTTGGCAATTACTTCCTATCCCACGTTGATGTCGAGGCTAACGAGACTGACCGAAATTTTTTCATTTTAATTTCCATGAAATTTGCAGTCACCGATGGTCACTGGGACCACGTAACTGGTGCGCTTGGTTTGAATAGGTGAGTGAATAGGTGGTCTGTCTCGTTAAAGTGAGAACAATTTTAATTTCCCGCTGTGCACACAGTAGCTTCTGATTGCTCAACTGGGTAATGACGAAAAGTGGAGGAGTGGGGATGCTCTGTAGAGGCGCAGTTACTACTGAAGTGAAAAATATACTAGATATACAACATACAAGAATGTGGTGACTGTTCAGCAGCTTAAACGGGCCAGACAGGCAAAAATTTCAACATAAGGTATCGTAAGCATGTGTTATCAGATAAAAAATCAGCTATGGAGTGGAGGTGTTCTGTAGAGGCGTAGTTACTACTGTCTTCCGTCTCCCTTCGAAGGAAAGTATTTCATCAAACAATCATGTATTCAATAGACTTTGGGACCTATTTTCGACCCGGGAATATCAGAAATCGTGTGCGAATATTATTGAAAACGTGTCGCTATTATTTTTGATCGCTCCAATACAATATACCATGTATACAGACCATCCCAGTTGCATATAAAAACGTTAGGATTTTTGTATTATTGTTGCCATAAAGTTTGATATTTATTTTACGCTTATTCATTTGTACGTGGTTTTGAATGTATTTTTATCATACTCGTGAATTGTAAATTGAAAATTGATCAGATATTTTTTAATTTGTGATTATTCTACGAATTAGCAAATGTAGAAGTTGAAGTCAAATTCTGCACAAACACTGATTGCCAGTACAAGATAATTACTTTTCCAGACATTTAACTGAATAATTAGTCTTTATCTTACGGAAAATATATTCTCATAATTCGGTGTCAGCAAGAGTGATCAATGGATTTTATGTATTCTCCAAATTTTTTGTTTTTGTGATTTATGCAGTGAAAATTTTCACTTTCAAGTAAAATAAAAATACTTGACGATATTACGTATATTTGAGTAGAAGTTACCAGGTCATCAGGTGGATGTGATATCGGACATATTCTTTTGTATCTAAGCAATATGTGTATCAACTACTTTGAACCCTTGTGGCACTATAAAATCAATACTTACCATTAACAATGAAAGTGTCTTTTGGAAAAGTTTATTATATATTTTTGAATATAATAAAGATACTTCAAACTTTTATAAAATATACTCCACAACTATGAAATATTTATTCAGCTTGTTAGATCGAGGAATGCAAAAGTGATCTAATACAAACAATGTATAACGACTTTTTATCCTTCCATTTGTCCAAGTTCAACAATTTCAGAAGAAATTATTCAAAACAGGTTACAAAAGCTAACTTATTATTCACATTGTTTCAATGGTGTGGCAAACGAATAATGATTGATCCGTAAATAAATTTGAGAGGATTTTATGCGATGGGTCAAAAATAGAGTATATCTACTATAAACACACATTTTTTTCCCACACGAAAAGCTAAAAAACGCGTGGAAACATTAACGGGTCAAAAATGAAATAATGAATACCGGGCAACAATCGACGTCTTCATCACTTCTCGTTCTGAATAGTCGATGACGAAAAGAATATACTCCTTGAACAATTTGTAATCAAAAAGAATAGATTCACTGAATTATTGGAATAGTTTCTCAAAAATTCCGTGCACCTCCATGTAATGATTTCGTTTAGAATCAAGATGCATGCGCTCGTTCGACCAATATGAATATTTACGTCTTTTTTTCCGCATGAAACCAATAACGGAGCACTTTTTTTCTACAGTCGTACTCATTTTGTCTTTCGTTATGGTCAGACGAGAGTTCAGTTTCCATTTCATGAACGGTGTCCAAATAAGTTTGTCTTCTCTTCCATGCTCTTGATGATAATTTGAATCGTTGTCTGCGGCATTGCCGCTGTCAGCAGTGTTCATAGCACGAATGAATCGAAGTTATTTTTGTTCAAAACATGTCGCCGTCTTGCTCAAGTGCCAATAAGGTTATACCTATTGGTAATTGGTCTCATACCTACTGTAGTGGCTACGTCTTTGTGAAATTACTTTCACAACAAGACCAAATAATTTTTCTTCTCTGAACTTCTGGAAACTCTGCATTTTGCATTTTTAAAAACATTTCTTTGAAGATATCGACATATGTGATATTATTACTTTTTCGTTATTATTATGTTGAACAAAAACACTTCAGTTTCATCTAGATGAAAAAAATGAGATGAGGTGTTTTTGAGAATGTTGTTTATTGAGATATTCAAATGTTTTGCTTTCATTGACTAATAAATGTTTATTTGTTTAGAAGACTATGAGAATTTGTCCAAGTTCCTTTCTAAACATACCTTGGTATGCTACCACGATATACCAACTCCAAAATTAAATTTTAGTAGGAGTCGTGCTGAAGGTTTGACATGGAATGACGCCAAATTTTGCAGAAAACTTGTGAGTATACTGAATTACGATAGTAATACTCAACTTCATACTTTTTTTCCAGGTGAAAGAAAAGTGTTATTCATTCCATAGGCAACTCAAACAGCAAATGATAAATTCTGCAAGAGAGTTTTTTCCATTGACTTTCTCTTACGAATTCCCTACTCCCACGTTCAGAGATTGTTATTTTGCATATCTACCTGGGAAAGAAGACGATTTGTTTGTTGGATGATTTTAATCTATATTCTGTTTTTCACTTTTTTAGAATTTGATTAAAGCAGATCCCAGAGCTGTAATTTGTATTCAGAATTTTGATTTTTATAGAAATACTTGTGAAAAATGCTTACGCTTTAAAAGCCGTACCAGTATAAAATAGTTGTTGCTACAGTTGTTGCTGACGTTCCTACAGATAAAGTGTTGGAAAAAAACAAGGCTTCTTGATATACGATAAACGACAAGTCACCAACAACAGAGAAGAAGCACAGAGAGAAGATGAAGTCGTACACCGATTGGAAGACCGGATTCTGAGAACTGAGATCACGGATTAGATAAGAGAAAATTCTTATGGCTCAACACCTCAGTTATATTTGATTGACAAAAGATCATCACAAGGCTTGCTGGGCTGGGTAATTGAGAGAACGAACGAAAGCTCTTAGGTTCATGCAGAAACGACTACGGATTAACAGCGAACAGATAAAAGGTTTGTTCTGGTGTTAACATTTGAAACTGTTTGGAAACTGCGCAAGACATGATGCGTACAAACATAAAATCTCAAACAGTCCGAAATAGTCTCGGACACTTTGTTAAACCAGAACACATTTTGAGGAGACCACTGTGCCACCTATCGTATATATAAAGAGATGAAGACGAGAAAATATTGTTGATCATGTCTATTTTGTTATGTGTATCCTTGTAGTCAGTTCAAATATTATCTAATAACCACAATCATCATTTATTCGAATCAAATAAATGAAAAAAACATCATAGAAAAGCATGGTCCTGACGTCCTAGAACCAGAACAAACCTAAAGAAGCGACTAGGAAGAAAAATAGAAAACACATACTTCAAACGGGGAGAAGAAAAAAGTATTCTGCCCCAAATTAAAAAGAAGATGGAAGGACTTTATTTGATGACCAAGAAGATGGACGAATTGGTCTATTGTAACTAGCTAATGACAAGAAGCAAACTACTGATAGCTCACGAAGAAAGATTGGTTACTCCAAATCAAGCTGAAGACTCACCAGGGAGTGCGATATCACGCCCATGACGAAACTGTCAAAGCGAGTGAGCGTGCGTATTTGCGTATCAATGTTTCGAACGGTTATCAAACTGAAAAACTCATCTGGTCATTGAGGACACTTTTCTTAGGATAATTCATGAAAATGTTGAACACGTTAGTGACAACTAGATCGGCACTCAGATGAAAAAGCTAACATAACATTTAAAACATCCTCAGTCAGTCACGTCCACTCTCCCAAAGCTAGTCTTAAACTTTTCCAATACTCCGCTGGAGGACATAACACTCACATTATTTTGTCGAAAGTTTTTAACTCGTCCATAATCCCCAAATCTTTTCTCAGTGAAATCTTTATCACTCAGATCGAATCAGTCATTGCCTATCCTCCTGAAAACCTAGCCAAAGATGCTTGCCTCTACTTTGAGCAGAAGACTTTTCGAAACCCTATATCACCCCAGTACAGAGACAATCCCTCATAATCCTAAGCAATAACTTGTACATAGTTTTTCTCCCGGCAGGCATTACACGACTTTCTGTCGTGTAATGTCATCCAAGTTGTTAATACTGTCAATGTTATTCTTGGCGTTTTTGAAGTGAGTAATTCTAGTCAAGGCCGTAGCTAGAAAATGATTTCGTGGGGTGGGGTTTGATTTGGTGAAACAGTAGAAAAACATGAAATATGAAAGTTTATAAAAATGTTTTTAGAACATAGTTCATTTTTGGCTTTTTGCCTTTGTTATTCTAATAAATGATAGACTATTCATAAATTAGTTTTATTTTCTAAATGGTTATTGCGATGGTCGAAGTCAAAAGATGTTTTGAAAGTGAAAAAGCCAAAAAAGCGAACTAAGAAATGGAGTTGTTCGGTGAAAATAAGCATGGTGTTGTGACCTTTAAGGGTCATATTGTTTTGACAATCGAAAGATCAGAGTTTCAGCAGTATTAAAAGCTCGAGATTCAGGTAAATTTTTGAGAAGGTGAAAAAAGGCAAAAGAGTGATGGATCAGAAAAAACAATAAAGTGTTGCCGATTCAAATTTTGAGTAGGTACATTAAAAAAATTGAGGATGCCTGAGAAATAATGAAGAAATTTGAAAAATATTTATTAAGAAAGGTATCTGTTCAAAATCCTATCTATTTAAAGAACTCATAAATATGTAATATCCTGTTGAAGGAGATATACAGAATCATTTTGCTGAATGCGATAGAATATTGAGAGAATTAACATTTCGTGTTTTCTATTACTTATTACTTTTCCAGCCCATAGAGTATGATAATAGCTATAAAGACAATAAGAGTATATAAAACTTGAATTTGTGAAGAAACAGTTGGGTGGCAGAACTGGAACCTCTGGCACCGAATAAATTTATAACAAGTACTGTTCCTAAACACCGGAGCGGCAACACAATTCTCGGCGCACGTTTCAGCATTGAAATTGACGTCTTCATGAGATAGAGTTCACTATGTTTTCTACCACTTTTATTTGTAACTATGTTTTTCACCACTTTTATTCGTAACTAAAGTTAGTGCAGTTTCGTTCTAAAGGACATTTTCAAACTTAATGTATAAGTTTGAAAATGAAAACATACATCGGTGCTGCTCAGATGCGTTGAACCTGATAGCAATTGAATATTATTATCAATATGACGATTATAAAAAAGTGCCTCTCAACTTTTGAGTAGGCATATAATATATTAAAATCAAACGCATTAAATGTTTCTCTAATTAATTATTTCATCAATAAACCGGTATTTTTCTGAGCATCGTGAATGAACTAACAAATTTTGGCGTGTGTAGTTTTTTTCAGTTGAATGGATTAGGTTACAAAAAAATGCTTACTTACTTTTGAATATCTTTAATTAATGTTTAATTAGTGTTCAACATTAGTCATACTAACTAACAACGGTCCTTTTTTGGGTCGGAAAATAAACATACTCTGAGTATTGCATATTAGTAAATGTCATAATTATCCATCCATCCAATAGTAAGTGAAAGAATAATACTATGTATACTAATGACAGACAAAAAGTCTTGATGTTTTGGTTGGTTTGTCGTATCCTTATTTGGTTACAATCTTCAAACGTTTCAACTGCAACTGCGGCAGTCATCATCAGTGGCGTCGTCGAAGTACTCTTCTTGAGGTATCAACTGAAACCAACACGGAAACCAACCAAAACATTGTCGCCAGCCGTGAAAGCCCACATTCCTATGAAAAGTCTTGATTTTTGTTAACTCATTATTAGTAAACTATTTCTTGGGAGTAAAATGAGGCATTTATTTTGGTACTTTGATAACAATGAATACTTCGTGGTTAGGATTATTTTTTCATCACCTGCAAATACTGCGGTTTTGAGGTGGTAATAATAGCAGTAATCAAAATAGTGTCAAGTGAACTTGTTTACTTAGAGCATTTTTTATCTGTGTAATGGCTTTTTTGTGAAATGATTCACTGGTGATATCCAAAATTATATTTCTAGTTTTATGAAGAACGGAAGGTACCAATTTAAACCAGTTCTCAGATTTTACATAATAATTTGCCGTTGCATCAGTCTGAATTGTACTTTGAACAATGCAATAAATTGTTATCATCTCTGTCCACTTTCATTAACATACCACATGTTCTTTCCAACTACACAGGCCATTCCTTTTATCATTTGGTAACATTGCTATACTCTAAACCATAACAGATACGAAGACGATTAAATGGGTAAAAAGGTAACTGTCATCTGGAACAACACAATGGTCGAAGAAAATTTACGGGGAGTCTCGCCCTTTTCGAGTTATACGGGGAAAACCAAAAATGCTGTTTTTTGTTTTTTTCGAACGAAATTGTTATTTCGGAGAATATCAAAAAATGGAAAAGTAAAATTTTGTTGTATTCAAAGTGTACTATAACGTTGTAATAATATATATTCGATAAAACGTTTCGTGTCAACATGGCCACCATCAACTTTTTTTTAAATACGCACCTGTCTTTTTATTACAGACATTGATAAAGCGATAAATTCACAATCCATCCATCATCAGTGAAAACAACTTTAAAATACTGTCCTGAAGTTACTCCTTTTATAGAATGTTTCGATTTCTTAAAAATATAATTCAGACAATCTAATAAATTCCACAGATAGGTATCCTAACACAATGAAAATTCGTAATTTTTTGTTTTGTAAATTTTTGTGTTACCGTAATCCTTCTTTCGAAGCTTATTTCTCCCTAATCAATTATAATTCGTAATATTTTTATAATTCTCAATCGTGAAAATAAAAATATTAGTTTTTGGTCAAAATTCGTTTGGTTGTATAAAATTTAGTATGATCAAATAGCATCTCAATTGACATATCATCTTAAACGCGTAGACTTTGCTTGGTTTTTATGGCAGGAATGCGTTGTTGATATCTGTTGAGAGCTGTCAGACGTTTATGAACATATCAAAGATGTATTCAAATGATGAAAGGACTGATTTGCTATTTGGTTATGCAAAATCAAATAGAAATCCTCTTTTGGCAAGGAATATGTATGTTGAGCTATACCCGAATCGTGGTATTCCAAATGTTTAGTTAGACGATTATAAAGAAATTTTAGTGACTGTGGTGCATTTGTCAGAATGCACAAGAACAACAAGGTTAGGAAGTGTGAGGAATCAAATAAATGTTATGGAGAAGCAAATATCACCACATAAAAATTTACACAGTGAAAACGTCTTTTTTTCATTTAGGATTGGCCAGTTACAAAAATTATGTTAATCAAGATTGTTCTTTACAAGAAATTGCCAACGAAATGGGGATTTCTGTAAAATCCACAAGAACTACTTTGAACAAGAACAAATATAAATCCTACAGGATACGCAAAGTTCATCACCTCAATGAAAGGGATTACGGAAGGAGAGTACGATTGGTGAAGTGGTTAAGACGTAGAAATAGGGAAGTTGGAAATATTTGTAGAAAAATAATATGAAAGGACGAATCAAAATTTACCAACAATGGTTGGTTTAACAGAAATATCCATTATCGTCTTCGTATCATGTTACGACATGATAAAAGAAACGGCCTGTAGAGTCGAAAGTAATAAAAAGAATTGAAACATTATATTACACGTATTTCAATTTGATGGAAACGACAAAATGTATAAAAAGTGTTTTATTTCATTCAATTCTTATGTAAATCTTTATCCAATCCAAAGTTGCAGTCAACTCGTTTTATCATTGGTCTTTTGGTTCTGAAAGCATACTTGCAGAACCATTTTCCGAATCTCTTGACAAGTCATCTTGTCTGGCAACTTCATTTGTCTTATCTATGGTACTAACCATGACATCATCATGGTTCATTTCGAATACAATAAAAAAAAACAATTATTTGATACTCTCCGAAATAATAATGCCATTTGAAAAAAACGGAAAACAGCAGTTTTGGTTTTCCCCGTATAATTCAAGAAGGGTGAGAATCCCCGTAAATTTTCTTCGACCACTGTATTGTTATCGACGACTGTTACCTTTTTTCCCATTTAATCGTCTTCGTATCATGTTACGACATGATAAAAGAAACGGCCTGTAGAGTCGAAAGTAATAAAAAGAATTGAAACATTATATTACACGTATTTCAATTTGATGGAAACGACAAAATGTATAAAAAGTGTTTTATTTCATTCAATTCTTATGTAAATCTTTATCCAATCCAAAGTTGCAGTCAACTCGTTTTATCATTGGTCTTTTGGTTCTGAAAGCATACTTGCAGAACCATTTTCCGAATCTCTTGACAAGTCATCTTGTCTGGCAACTTCATTTGTCTTATCTATGGTACTATTCCAGATTCCATAAGCAAAATAAATTAATAAACCTAAAAAACGTATATTATAAAATTTTGTTGAAAATAAATATTTTGTCACTTTACCTATCAACATCCAGTAAGTATATTTGATCCAAGTATCCTTCTGAATGTTCGTCATTAAATAAATATTTATGAAAATACTCAATCCTGGTATCCAAGGAATCAATGGAACCTAAGAAAAAGAATTAGAGTTTCGAATTGCTGATGACAAAGAAAAGTAAAACAACGCGAGAAACAAATCGTTATGAGTATACTTCATATGAATGAATATATGAATGAATATCTTGAACAGATTCGGTATCCTATTTCTAATGATTTTACTTGGGGCAGTTTTTGCTTTATATCATTGATTTCATTCTATCATAAAATATGACCAAAATTCACATAGTCGAGAATGACATGGCTATTATTACTTCTTTTGCGGCGATACATATTACTTTAATTGGCTCATCTGGAATATGGCACATCGAAAACATTTTCTTATTTGTTCTGGAAGCACTATTCGCACATTTCCAGAGTACTTTGAAAATACAGTTTCTAATCATCAAGTCACGACTTTTTTATAATATAATGAAAGTGATTTCCTGATCTAACCTTTTTCCAAGCTGAAAGTCGCTAAAATGTTAATGTCGATGAAATTGATCAACAATGTTAGATTCAGCAGTAAATTTGTGGTTTCCAATTTATCCATTTCGATACAGGAAACACTTTATTGTGAGATTTTCACTTGACAGTTAATGAAACCAAAATACGTATTTCTCGATACAGTATGTTATTCAGGAATATTCAGTAACAACCTCACTTAGTACCAGCGTAACCTTACCTCAGTTAGTAAACACGTGTCGCTGTTTCAAGTGAATATCTCGAAATGAAGAGTTATTCAAAATCGTTATAATAGATTTTCATCAAAGATCGGCCAGATCCATCACATATCAAACATAAAGAAACCACATCTCCTTCAGTAGTATGTTGCGACAGTGTTAGGCAACCTATATGAAAATCTTCCTCTGAAAAATGTCAAATAGGAATCAGTATTGATATCAATACCGAAGTGATCTTCTTGACCAAACAAGATCAAATTTTAAGGAATGACTTTGAATCGTTTTGATCAAAATATATTTTGAGGCTGCCTGAATGTTTTCTGAATTCCAAATATACGATATTCCAAAACTTTGATGGATTTATGGAAGCTGAATTAGTAATCCTATCAGAATGATTAACAATCTATCGATAAACGATATACTCTATGAAAATATCTTAAGATCCATTACAATCTTATGGAAAACGCTGATAATGAAGAATGTACTTCTAGATTTCATAAACTACAACTCACGATTTGATCAAATCGTCAGGTGTAATTTATGAAATTACTATGGATCTTCATAAAGTAACGGCCGAAGCAATCAGAAAAAGTACTTCTAGATTATGGTAAAGAAATGTGCTTCCTACTTCTCCATCTTTATATAAAAAAGTGAGAAACTTCAAAAGGAAGACAGAAAGCAATTTATTTCTGAATAAACTATTACAAATATGTAGTTTTTGAAATTACTATGGATCTTCATCAAGTAACGGCTGAATCAATCAGAAACATATGTGTAGATCACGCATAGAAGATTTGGCTACAAACTGGAAGAAAATGCCCTTTCGAAAAAACGCTGACGAATATCGTTTTACTTTGATGATCGAGGACTACATTAAGCATATTAGCTTGTATGTGGGGAATGAGTAGTGCCAATAAAATATCTCGTTATCCACGACAGAATCAATATCCCCCCGGAACATAAAGCAATACCGGTGTCTCATTAACTCTGTAGAAGTGCCGAAGGTGGTAATAAAGCATGAATATAGCTGCGTTATGTCGGTGGATATAGACTGAGGGCTCATATGCTGGACATGATGACAGCAAATGCGTAAGGGCACCTCGTGGCATGCCCGCATCTGGTTTCATGGACCTCTATAGCCATCATGTGACTATGGTAAACCGAAGTGTTGTAGAAACCATTCTGGCAGGCCATGCCGGACTCTTCAGTGAGTACACGTGACCTGACGAAGCAAAGATCAGTTGCTTTGATGAGCTGTAGTCTTGAATGCTGTTAAAGAAGACCGTGTGCATCAGCTTCTTCTTGTGTGGCCGTAGGAGTGAACTGATTACAAGGAATGCTTTGACCTGTGCCAGGTAAAGTTCAAATAAACGATATAGTACAACTTTGAACTTTGCCTTTACGAGCCCTTCATCACAAAAAATCTGACGAGATGAGGCGATGATCTGAACCTTTATATTTAGTTTGTATCATCTCATGAGACAATGATCTATTGGTCAATTGCCTAACTTGAACAGTCTTATAGTTCAGTGAGTATTGTTGATATATTTATTGTACGCCAGAAGTTTCAATTATATTCATTCCCCTTCATTTCAATAAAATTCATTAACTTAAATTCAATAAAACAAGTTTTTATCAGTTGGGTGTTTTTCATATTCTTCCCAAGTAATTGAGAGCTCTTCAAACATATACTTTTCAGTATTCTATGCTATTATCTATATATTACAAAAAGCTCAACCTAACCTTTATTTTATTGCTTAATTGAAGCTCTCTATCTATCTCATAACGCGTTCCTATAATTATTAACGAAGACTCCAGACAGAGTAGAAACATTTTTAGAGGAATCCAATTTGTTTCGAAAGAGATGAGCATTCTGAAAATTTAGAAAAATCAAGATCCAATTGGGATCTGTGAATAGCACGTTGATGTTTTGTATGTTTCATGACCATATAGGCGTTCTATATGGTCAGTCATAAAATAATCGAGAATTGGGATTTTTTTATTGCGCTTAGTTGATTTTATAACTGATAGAAGATACATTTCTTTAGTGCAGAAAATTTCATGAAAACCTGCGATTGAAGGCACTGAACAGAACAGAAAAAACCCACCAAAAAAAAATCATACCCAAGAAATCGAACAATATTTCGCTACAACCAAGATTTCATTACTGACAAACTGTAACAACTTACCGAAAATCCTAAATTAGAATTTGATGTTGGTTGAAATGAAACGAGAGTCAATAAAATAATTAACACAACAGCTAATACTGCACATGTCGATACAAGCCAAGTTGTACCGTTGTAGAGATCATCTTCACACGTCGTCATTAGACCGGAAAGTATGAAACAAAAGGCAACTGAAACAAATATATACATTACATATCATTAGACATTAAAACTAGGTATATAAGAATCTGCATGAGAACGTGTTATACCTACTTGAAACTTACAATATATAAGAATTTCCCATGCCACTACAGTTGAGGACAGAGTAGACGGTTGTGAAGTTGTTCTATTGAAAACTTGACTGATGTACTGTTTAAGAACTATTTTTTGTTTGGTGGTGTCTTTGGTTGAGTACCTAGAACCAACAAAGTCAGGATATTTCAATTTTGTATTGAAACAAAAACCAATAAAACATTTGATAAAGACTCAGGAATAAAGACACACCTGAAGAAGGTGTGTCTTTACAGTTTTATAATAACGCAACATATGTTGCGTTATTATAAAACTGTTGAATGAAAATCTCACAAGCGATTCTTGAATACAGTTATTAATAGGGGAGCCCAAGCGGGGATTTCGGGATTTACTAAAGCGCGGCAGATTAATATACAGGGGGATACCTTGTACCCGGTTAAGTACTTCCACCAAATATGAGCCCCATATATAAGGCCGCCTGTGTTTTGGATAAAGGATCAGATTAGTAAAAAAATTGATCATCAGAAATTCTCGAGTGCGTCAGATTAAGGTAGGGTGAGTTAATTACCTGCTAAAAAGTGTATATTCCAGTAATCTGACAATTTGAGAGTGACGTAAAGAAAGGGGAGGGCAGCAAAGTTATAAAAAAATAACGTCATTTCGACATTCTCGAGCGTAGTTATTTTTTTTTATTTTGAAGGAAATAATTCAAGGATAACGAAAAATATATAATCTGACGATTTCCGCAAGCTGAAATAACAAAAATTCGTTGATGAAGTTTAATGCGTGCAGCTGTGTGATACCTATATTTCCCTCTCCGAGTTTTTATTCCTCTATTCTCTATTCACTTTTTCTCTTTCTATTACTGTCTCACTCCGCCCCCACTCTGAATTCTGTTGCCATGACGCCATCACAGCTGATCACAGAGACTCGTGATGAAGATGATGATTAATTAATCAATTGATTGATGGATGTGGCCGTTACTACGTGGTAGGAAATCATAATCAAGAAAAGAGAAATCAAACTTTCTATGTTTTTACCACTTTTATTTGTAACTAACATTACTGCAGTTTCGTTCTATAAGGACATTTATTTATTGTATAAGTTTGAAAAAGTCCTTGTAGAACGAAACTGCAGTAACGTTAGTTACAAATAAAAGTGGTGGGGATCAATTGCAGCTTATTGCAGCTTATAGTCATCCTGTATAGTTTTATGTGGTTGCTAAATGTTGCTATTGAGAAGTTTAGTTTGTCAATTATTTTTAATTCAAAGTTTGACTGTCACGTATATATTTGTATTCCTTAAGTTTATTAAAGTTCTACTTCAACTTTGCTATTTCACTACGATCCACAGTTTCAAGTATAATCTACAACAAAAATGTCCTTATATATTGTATAAGTTTGAAAAAGTCCTTATAGAACGAAACTGCAGTAACGTTAGTTACAAATAAAAGTGGTAAAAAATATAGAAAGTTTCATTTCTCTTTTCTTCATTAATTAATCAATTGATTATAGAGAAATAAATTTTTTTGAGCATTTAAAAAAAATTATTTTCTTATAAATACAAGTATTCTACTCAAAAAACATACACTTATTTATTTGCATGCTATTTCCTGAGCTTTTCAATAAATTAAGTTCAATGAATTGAAACAAAAAATTGAAAAAATATTGTTTTTGTCAGATTAAGCGAATCCCTCTAGATAATCGTCAGATTATGAGACAGCACGTCTAAAACGTAAAGATGAATCATATATATCTTAATCTGACGCGCTTGAGTATTTTAAAATGACGAATTTTTTTTGCACATTACAATAATGGCCGCGAGTTTGCGTCAGATCGAAATCGTCAGATTATTGAATGGGAGCTTTTTTTTTGTTGCACTTAACACCCTCTTAGAAAATCTGACGCGATCGATTGAATTTTTTGCGTTTTCACTTTTAACCCTCACGTACAACCACCCACATCATGCAAACGATCAGATTAACATACCAACATTATCAAAAATACGTAGGACATTGATGCTATCAATATCTGACGGGCTCGAGTATGTCCACGGAACAGTATTTTTTACATATTTTATTATTTATAGCCGCTTCCCCCACCGATGAAAAGGTATATATAATATAACATTTTTTTCTTCTCATCATCTAAGCTTTGCCACCTAATATGTCTCAATGACGCTCGAGTAAATCCCCATTTTGCATCGTGGGCTTCCCTGCTATAAATAATATCCGTTTCAGAGAGTGTTATATAACGAACTTTACTGCTTTCAATACAACTTCCATATATTTAAGTCCAGATTATTAAGGACAGAGAAAAAAACTCGAAAAATACTAATTTAGAGCAGCACCTAGATGAAATTGAAGGATTGTTAGATTATAGTATAATATATCTACATCCTAAGCATAAATATTCATTCACAGAAAAATTATCGTTGACAAAACTTACCTGAGTACCAGTACACAAGCTGCTACCATAGAATATGCTAGTAATGTTCCTATGGACATCATCTCTGTTAACTTATTCAACTCAAATATACAGGCTAGGATGCCTGGAACAGTAAAGTAGAAAAAATTACAAAATTATTTGTTTTCAGTAATGAATTAATCACCTGTTACTGTTCCTGCAATAATTGTTCCCATCAATGGAGTGTGAAAATGGGAATGAACTTTTCCCAATGGTTTAAATATTAGTCCATCAGATGCCATGGCATATATAATTCTAGGTAATGGAAACATCGCCCCTAGTAAACTAAAAATAACAATGAAGTTTTGTTTTCAATATATTAATACGTACTCGGAATATAACTTGGTGAAATTTAAATTCATTTTACTTTCATAGTTTTAATAGTCAATATGTGTATTTTGTAAATTTTGTTCTTTCATTTTTCAATAACTGAATTCTTTGGTTTCCACAAATCAGGAGAGTCTTGATTCAAACATATTTTAACGACTACTTGAATAATACTCATATGTTCAACTTTGTCCGCTTTTTGAATCTCAAATGAAGCATTATAGCTCAAGTTATAAAGTTTTGTGGAAAAAGAGAGCATTTTTGTTTAACGATTTTGACCCCACAAATGAGAGGCAATGAAACAAATTAACATTAAAAATGTATTTTCTTAGTTTATGATCAAAGTGAGTGAGGCTAATCTTCTCTTCACTTCTACCCACAAGAGTATATTATTTATTCAAACTCCGATTAATACATCCAGGTTCTGAACGAAACCGATTAATTTATTTGGAGAATAATTAAGTCGTGAGAGTAAACTCTACCAAATTTTATATATGCACTGATATTAATCGTTTTTTCTAGATTCTTACGAATGTAAATCTTTCAATTGTTCAGGAACTACCAGTACCAGTATGATTTTTAAAAATAAACCAATATTCTATAGAGAATAAACGATCTATCAAACGAGGTAACTTTTCTATTTGAAAAAAAATTATGACGCTGCATTATGACGCTGCATTATGGCGCTGCATAAAGTACTGAAATGAATGCATTTTTATGTAAATTTGTTCCGTTTAAGAGCATTTTACATCCTCACTGTATAGTTAGTGAGCAAACATATTAATAACATATAGGTATCTGATCGACTTTCCTCTCAATTAACAATTACTGTTCCTTAGTACAGTAACACAGACAAAAAGATGGAAACAATAATAATTTAAGCATTGTGATTATTGTAATTCTCACCAAGTTATACATTACATACATCATTGTAAGAAAAATACCTAGAAAAAAGGGCAGCAATTGCTCCGACACTCACTATATACTTAATGACTGTCCAATTCAACTGTGCGTAAATATGGGCTAGAGGTGCATTTTCATCCTGAAACAATTAATTAGTATTAAGTATGTACTAATCTCTAAAGATTTAGTCATTAAAACTTTGTTCATTCCTGAAAATGAAAAATGCATCCCGTCTCTGGGTGTTTAGATTAAGAAAGGAGTGTTTCAACAAAACTCATTACAGAACAGATATACTTTTCATTTACAATACAATAGGCTAATTTTCACATTTTTCAATTCAAAAATTGAATCTACACGTAATCTGAAGAACATTGGCGTAAAAACTTCCTCTGAGTAAATTTTATTTCCCAGAAATCAACCTCAAAGAAGCGGTTACGCGAAAGATGGCGTGACGTCACCAGATATACCAACTGCGGAACCGGATAGAAATCGCCATTAGTTATTTTTTGATTGTTTGAATTCACCTCCCTATGTTATGGAAGTATGTACGATGAAAAAATACTAAAGAAGAATGGTATAGTAAATAGGTGTACCTACTTATCCAACCCAAAATGCTCCAAACAATTTTTCTGTTCACCAACAATGAAAAAGTTAATAAATCAATTGATGGATGTAACCGTTACTACGTGGTAGGAGATCATCATGAAAAATGAGAAATAAAACTTCCTATGTTTATATACCACTTGTATTTGTAACTAACGTTTCTGCAGATGGTCGTTCTGATTATTGGAGTCCTTGGTGGAATGATGTATTCTCTACTCTCGAATCTTATTTTAGAATATCTGTAAAATTCTTATAAAAAATGACACAATTGTCGTTTTAAGTATTTAATATAGACGAATCGTTTAAAAGTTATCACGATAAGATTAACTTGACACAACGCAGTAAGTCATTAGGCGTGGCGTCTACTGTAAGACGACGGGGGGAAGATGCGCGGGGGTAGAGTGGCGGTCTAACCAATGAAGCGCCATCGCCGAGAAAGTGACCCGAACGCGGACAAACGCGTGAGGGCAGACGTCTTGATGGTTGTGTTGGTTTTGCGAATTTCCTTACAGGTAACAATTCGATTATCGAAGCTATTCATTACTTAGTGCAGTTGGCATATTTTTTAGTTACTGTATTTTCAAAGAAAAAAAATATAAATTACTAGCTGTTGCCCGCATTTATATTAACGTACAGCTTCTGAACCAAGAATCTTGAAATATGCAGGTAGGTTCTATGTATAGTGTAAATAAGCATCAAGAAACGGAATCAGAAATTTACACCGCCAAGGGGAAAAATAGGGGTTCAAAAATTGTATTGAATTTTATCAGTTTTCAAGTTGGAAACTTGAAGTTTTGGGTTAGAAAAAAAATATTGTAACTGTTTGTTTGAAATCGTCTATCGCGAAACTTAATGAGACAAACCAAATAATTCTACGCGGGCGAAGCCGCGGGCAAAAACTAGTTCATTATCTAAAACTACCGATATACTCAAATATATCGCTCTAATTCCATTTCTCATTGTTGTAAAATTATTATTTCAATAACTGGACTTCAGAAACGCTTTTATTCATTGACTTCGATATTTCTTATTATGAAAAATGAGAAATAAAGTTTTTTACCACCAGCATTTGGAACTAACGTTATTGCAGTTTCGTCCTATAAGGACATTTTATTAAAGTTTTATTTCTCATTTCCCATGATGATCTCCTACCATGTAGTAACGGCTACATCCTTTAATTTATCAGTTCTTATTCTTATTGAAATATTCCATAACCATGAACAAGTTCATCTGTGACAATTCATTTGTGTATGTCCTAATAAAACTTTCTTAGACTGAACACATTAGGTAAACAAACCTTAAACATCAAATAGGTACTTGAATTGAAAGGGGTATATTTTCAGGAGAGATTATTTTTCAGAAAAAAAAGGTTTTGACTTTCTACTTCTCTATCATTATACAAGGAATTGTGGGAATCTTCCAAAGGATGGAAGAAAGCAATTAATTTCAGAATATAAAGAAGTAACTTTCAGACACAAACTGTAAAAAAAGCCTCTCGAAACAACTACTTTCATATAAACATTGAATTACACAAAAGAAAAAAATACTTTCGAAACAATTACTTTTATATGAACATTGAATTATACAAAAATACTTTCTCCTATTTAGTTTGTACTCCCAACATTCGTTAAAGAATTCAATCAGACATCATTAACAGTTGACATCACATATGTGACATAGACACTCTACCGATAATTCCATATATTTTGACGCCACACTAGCTTTTGACAACAGAACAATTTTAAAGTCGCGTATCTTGAAATGTTACTATTGCATTCCAGATGACAAGCACTATCAAAATATATAAAAAAGCACATTAGATTTGGCTCAATGACCCCATTTCATAAGTTTTGAACAAAATGCTTGTTTATAAAAAAAATGAAATTGTTCATTGTGTATCATTTCATTCCAACGATTTCGTTATCACTCATTTGACGATACTCAAGTAGACTTGATTTGTAGGCTGATTTCGAAGTGAATATTTTTTCAATGAAAATTATTTGAAAATTCGATTCAACCCACCTGTTCATAGTAGGGTAACATCATGGTCATTACTGTGGACATTCCAAAATATGCACAGAAAACTATCAAGAGCGATACTACTACTCCTATTGGTATTGACTTCCGTGGTGTTTTAGCTTCTTCACCTGAATGTAAATAGAGATGTTGCAGAATGGAATACTGATAAAGTTATTTGGACTATTAAAGTTGTATTTTTCGTACCTGCTGTTGCAATACAATCGAATCCAATGAAACCATAAAAACATCGAGCTGCTCCCTTCACAATTCCTTTTATTCCATAAGGAAAGAAACCACCATTACCCTTTCCCATAGCCTCTTGCTTTGTTCGAGTCCAGTTGGAAATATCCACTAAAATAATATCAGGATTAGATCAAATATGATTCCGATTAGGCTATTGTCAATTGAGGAAACTACATTTGTTTACTTGTTTGATAATTGCTGAAAAATGTAATAAAAAATGATATGTTCTAATGACGTTGAATATCGTCCAGATGAGTAGTATGAAAATGTCAATGATGAAATGGTGAAGGCTATACAAACTAAGTTGATCAAGACAAAAGTGGAGGAAAACTCCCATACTAGATAATGAAAACGGATAATGAGCGAAGAATGATCAAGAAATCAAATTCTCCCAGAATCAATAGTGTAACATTTTAGATATCTCTCACGTTTTGTAAGCAATGTGGTTTTGGCGAATTTTAAAGTTCTCTATTTTTCACGCGAAATCAAAAGATTCGTTTTGGCCAATATTGATATTTTTCCTTATTACTTAAAATCACTTAAAGAAGCTGAGCTTTTCTCTTATTTCAAATTCGTTAGATCTTACTTCTTTCCAGTTTATTACTATTTGGAATTTTTTTCTATAGTAATTTCAATTAAATAAACTTCTTAGGTATTTTCATTTCCATCACATGAAAATTTGGCACATTCAGGACGAATACTTCATTGATAATCATTAATATCAGTAAGAACTAACTCATTATTTTTTAAATATGGAAACGTAATCCTTGAATTGCCAGTTATATTTAAAACTTGCTAGTTTGTATTTGAATAATTTAGTTATACAAAAGTTTTCAATTTTCTGTTAGCACTGCTATGCTATTTTTTTTTTCATTTCTAGGATTTTAGAGTATTATTATTATCACTCGACTCACTATATTTCAGCCGATTGGTTACTTTTTTTCAGTATCATTTGACAACTGTCGTATACTGTTCTTCAATCTTTTCATAACTATTGACGATTCACTCAGGTAGATATTTCTACTCATTCTTCATTTCGGATTTACATATACACATTTTGTCTGGTATGCTTTTTCCATTTTTCGTTTGGATTTGTGAATTATTCAAAACAGTGATTAGGCAAACGTGATTTCATTTGAAAAAAATACCTGATATGACGCCTCTAGATGAGGATATACGCGACATTTGAAGTATACGATATATTACCGCAGTTAATTTCAGAACTCGTAGATAGAAAAAGAAGTGTTTTTCACAAATTTTCCAAAGAAAGTTCATAATAACAATTATCTTTTGTCTACAGATTCTGGAAATGAAAATGGAACTGCTAACTTTTCAGAAACAATTGATTCATTTGCCAAAAGTGAAACAGTGTTGGTTAGAGAATTATATTACCTATTAAACATGGAGTCACAAGACTACTACCTTTCTATTAAAAAACTGAGTAGCGTGCTCTCGGCGAAGTGAAGTACCTAACACTATTGTCTTTCTATCAAAAATTAGTAAAAATGATGCTTCTTTATGTAAATTCTATCAGAACTTGATATCTCGCCCCATTCAAAAGGTACGTTTACAAAATGAATGGAAAAATATAGAATAATGAGTGAAACATATCAGGAAATAATGCTTCAGTTTCTGGATTTCATATAATGTAGTCGAATGTTCATGCCGGCATACAAAATTGCATTAGGTAATTGCAAGTTGTTGTGATATAATACTATTCAACACTGATACAAAACTAAGCAAAAACTCTTTTTCAATTACTTAAAAAAACTGTATTAAACAACACATTACCACAATGGGCCGAGCACGTTTCACTAGATGATTAATTATTTTCAAACAAATTTGAATTGTTTTTAACGCACAAGTAACTAATTCTGCACTCAGCAGATGATTCAAACTTTGTTACCTTTCAATTTCATAATTATTGATTCCGAACAATACGAAATGTTTTTGCTTAGTAGGCAATTTCATAATGGAATAAATGGAGAAATAAAAAACAAAAAAAAAACAAATCCATGTGATTATGAACTTCTTGAAGTCTGTTTCCTAAACGTAATGAATGAAAGTGAAAGATTTTTTTCCCATGGATATTTTCAGGGAGTTTGGTAACAGAAAAATTTTCAGATTAATAAGTTTGTATCGACCTTTTCATCAAATGTATCTCCCTCAAGGATCACCCTATGTAATGACAGAATCATCCTTGAAGAAATTTCTCCCGACCACTTCCTTTTAAGAGGGCGGTCTTCCACCATGAACAGTAGTCTTCTTGTTAGCTATTTACACATGTAATTTCAATAAAAATCCGCAATATTGTAATTCAGCTCGATGCAAATCATACATGAATAATATCATGAAGAAAAAACATTTGATTTTTGTTAGTTCTGTTCCGTTACATTGGAATAGTGTAACCCAAAGTATAAAAAATTTCCCTATTATTTAGCGTCGACAGTTATACAGGGTGGGGCACCGAAAACCAAACAGATCGAACACACATGTGTTCTGAAAATGAATGCAAAAACACGTCGATTTGTAATTCAAGGGGAACATCTTCCTATCATAACCTCAACTGTCATACCTCTTTCCCCACCCCTCGGTGACTATCACCCAAACAATTTGAATAGGGAAAGTAGTAAGTGTGACACATCGTTAAAAAGGTAATTTCATAAGAAATTCAGCCATGTCAATTTTAGCTACCTAACTTTCGATTTTGGCGCCTTCTTGCAGGAAAAAAACTGTTCCGTATTCCAAATTATGATACTTCATTCGCAAGCTAATTTGACATAAATTTGGTGACAATGCATTATGGAGATTTTCTAGGGGAAAAAACAAGATGGCGGCTTGACAATGGCGGACAAGATTTGCAATTATGGTCCGATTTGATTCAAAATTGATAAGTGGTGGTTTTTAGGGTCGGAAATTATGAATTGTTTTTCAAAGCAAAAAATCAAGATAGTGGCTCCAAAATGGCGGAAGAATTTTGTAATCATGGTTCGATTCAACCCAACACCGAAATCGAATTCTTCAAAACACTTGTGTGTCATACTTCTCTCCCCACCCCTTGGTCACTCATACAATTTGATTAGGGAAAGTACTAAGTGTGACGTAGCATTGAAAAGGTAATTCCATAAGAAATTCACAAATGTGAGTGTTCGCTACTTAACTTTTCATTTTGGCGCTCTATTGTAGGAAAAACAACTGTTTCGTTTTTCAATTTACATTTCATTTGAAAGGTAATGTGAACAATTCACGAAAAAAGAACAACAATTGAAAACATTACATAATGCAATCATCGCAAACTACTTAATTCACAGTAGATGCTCAAAGTGTTCGCCATGAACTGCCATCATCCATTCAGAATAGTGTAGAAATAATTGAATATAATTTCAAAAATAATGAATGTGCCAACAAAGCCAGTAGAATTTTCAACAAGCAACATTCAAAGAAAAACGTACATCGTAAATACGTTTTGGAACTAATTTCAAAATTTTGACAAACGGGATCTGTGGCAAGTAAAACACGTCAAATTGAAAACCCAGTAAGAAATGAAGCAGTGGAGGTAGCAGTTTTAGGACAGGTTGCTGCGGATTCAACTCTTGGTACACGAAAGCTTGCTGAATTATCTGGAGTAAGTCGACGTACCGTCGGGCGAATTTTGAAAGCTCACAAATTCCATCCATACAAAATTAAACTAGTTCAGAAACTTAACGAAGACGACTTTGATCGTCGAATACAATTTTGTGAAATCATGAGTGAACGTGAACGTTTTCAATATTTGTTTTTCGGATGAATGTTGTTTTTATCTCAACGGAATTGTCAATCGATATGATCAGATTGCAATCCAAAAGTGTTTCACCAAGTACATACGCAATCTCCACAAAAATTGAATGTTTGGGCTGGAATATTTGGCGATCGTATTATTGGTCCATTTTTTCTATCAGGTAATTTTGCTGTAGCGGTTCGTCAGTACATGGATGAAAGATTTCACAGACACTGGATTAGAAGAAGAGGATGCATTGAATGCCCCCCCCGATCTCCAGATTTATCCCCCTTAGATTACTTTTTGTGGGGCCATTCAGAAAGTAGAATATACGCCACTCAGCCAGGTTCGTTAGCAGAGTTACGTCAACGTATTATTACCGAATGTCGTCAAATAACCCCAGAATGCTGCAAAACGTCAGACAAAGTTTTGAGACGAACTTATACTCATGTATGGCAGTGAATGGAGAATACTTCGAGCATCTACTATGAATCATTGTAGTTTGGAATGATCTTAGTTAAATTCATGCAAAATTTTTCAATTTACTTCTTGTTTTTCCCCTATATAAACTCCATAATGCATTGTCACCAAATTTATGTCAAATTAGCTTGCGAATGAAGTATCATAATTTGGAATACGGAACAGTTTTTTCCCGCAAGAAGGCGCCAAAATTGAAAGTTGGGTAGCTAAAATTGACATGGCTGAATTACTTATGGAATTACCTTTTAAACGATGTGTCACACTTACTACTTTCCCTATTCAAATTGTTTGGGTGCTAGTCACCGAGGGGTGGGGGAAGAGGTATGACAGTTGAGGTTATGATAGGGAGATGTCCCCCTTGGATTAAAAATCCACGTGTTTTTGCATTTTTTTCCAGAACACATGTGTTTTGAAGATATTCGATTTGTTTCGTTTTCGGTACCCCACCCTGTATACATGAACACGTACAAATACTTTTTTTAGTGTTACAAGTGTGAGTACAGAGGAGTATTTTTTCGCAACCTGGAGTTGTGTTTTCCCGAAAATAAATCATTGTTAAACGAGCAGTAATAACACCACTGATTAAAAGAAAAATATAATACGGTAAATGCAGAAGTAACAAATGGTCAAGCCTCTGTTCTACAGTTAAATGATGTGCTGTATAAACACCTTCAAAAGAAATATGTATTTTGAGAAATACAGTTATCAATATTACCTTTCCATAATCCAGAAACTATCACTAGAATTACAACTAATAAATTAGTAATGGTAAATGCGTTGTTCACCCATGATGACTCCTTCGCACCACATGCTAATGCAACTGAAAATGAACATCAATATCATATGATTGTCTATCTTTGACGATGACATACTTACTTGAGAAAATGATTGCTAGTCCAAGCGAAAATAAATCTGCATACGTTGATATTTGATTTCCACCTAAAGGAATGTTTTTTTCGAAAAAATCTGTCATGGTTTTGTTAGCAAGTTCATCTATATATAAAAATATCGCTTTGGTGCTAGCAGCAGAACCTGAAATGTCAAATGAAAGGGTTTTACTTTTCTGAATATTGTTTTATCAACAAAAAAATTATTAAGTCTTTATTTCAAATATCAACCCAGCGGTATAGTATTTCCAATACCAATTGAAACAGCACAGAGAAGGAATTCCCGCCTCGACATAGGCGTCGGCATACCTATTATTTTTCAGTGGTAGTTTTTCAGTTACTTATTCTTACAAT